AATTTGAGATTTTCATTTTTCTCCTATCAGCCAAAGGTGATGTGTGCGTGAGAAAGAACAGAGACGGATGTAGTGCTTTATATATAAGTTCATCCAAATTCAATAACTTTAATAGACTTAAATTTTGTATTTATGCTAAAAAATTTACTAAGTAAATATAAATAACAATTTTGAATCCAATAAATCAAATGACTGTGGTAGAGTTCCGAACTCAAACTCATAATGTTCATATTCTGAATCCGCATCTGAGAGAGTTAGTAAAAACGCATGTGTTAATCTTTGAAACTTAACAAAATTTATTATTGGCAATAAATTTTTAAGTGCTAAAAATTAACTGCAATCACAAAAATATATGAAAAGAAATAATTTTTATTGATGAATCTTTGTGGGTACAATTCTGTTTGTTCCCTTGATTCTTCCTAGATTTAAATTATTTTCCAGGAATGTTTGATCTCCATGAAAATGAAGAAAATCACGTCTGCAGCTTTGTGAAAGACAATATTTGATGTCTTTGATCTTTGTGAATATTCCATGAATTTACGGAATTTCGAGATGATCTCAATTTTTAAGATTCTTTTTTAAGGAAATATGTAACCTGTTTTATATGAGTTATCTAGAGTTAGGTAAAAGTAGTAGCCTCCAAGCAGCCCTAATATACTCCTAGTACAAGATTCGCTTTGTAGTATCTTGAATTTAGTCCAAATATCGTATGAGCTTAATTCATTAAAATTTCGATGTCTACGCTTACAAACTAAATTGTTTATAGCCAAAAGAAATAATTAGCATATATAACTAACTGACAACTAAAGGAATAATACACCGGCTCTACTCTATCCATACGCACTACCTAAACAGCGCGTTCTTTGTATCAACAGCTTTATTATATTAATCTTCAAATATACTATTTATTTTATAGCTAAGCAAGACTTAATTATAGGACTCAACACTTCAAGGGTTACTAACTTGAATCTGTATTATATTAGTCACTTTCTGGTTTCAATCCTGAGTTTATTTGTCTTCTTATTTCGTCCATGTATATCAGCATATTTTACCAGTTTTAATGGGCTAAGCAATGTTGAAAAATAAATCAAATTGAAAAAAAAGAAGAAGAGAGCATTGAATTAGGATTAGTACCCACTACACAATTAGTATGGTCCAACATGCCCTCTTATTCAACCATGCTCTTGGATTTGAAGGATTGAAATAATAATCAATGGTGGTTTTCATCTCGCTTTACCAATTCAATTCGGATGTGCAATCGTGTAAAAAAAAATGAACGTTGGATTAGATGTGGACCTAGGATTTTAACTCAACCGGGACACTAGTATTCTGCTCAATCGGTGACCCTAAAGGTTTTAGTATTCAAGATGTCAAGTTATTTAAATTAATCATTTTCAAGGTATACATATATAAATATATAAAATTTCTATCAAAGTTTACGGGGTCTGGCAATGGTGAATTTATATTAGTATTAATTATGTGTTTACGTGAATCCAATAATTTTACACGTGTATTTATTTGGAGGCACATTAACTGTCCATCTTTCAACTTAATACTGTGTGATAATTAATGTGGCTTATATTGTGCATTTCTGCGTGTATATGATATGACTCCAAACTCTATATATGTACTGAGAAATCACTAAATATGTATATATAATAAATTTCAGAACTTATGAACTTTAAATTCAGAATCTATAAACTTTAAATCTTAGACGCTATCGCCTCCAAATGGTAGCATATATGATTAGAACCATACTAATTTCCAAGGGGCCGAGGGGGTGGGTTGTATATTCTCCTGCTGCATTTGAAAGCAAATAATTTATAAAAAGGTCAATGCTACTAAACTTGATATTCGAATTACTTAATATCAAGCTTATAAAACATGTCAGACATTTGTTTATTAACTATTTTTTCTACCTGTTTCAAGTAAATTGTCTCCCACTGTTATCACCAGTATTTCAGAAATATTTGTTATCATAAAAAGTTACACTTTTTTTCTTTATAAGAAAGATAAAAAGAGAAAAGAAAAGAATTTCATACCAACTAAAAGGTGATATGTGTGTGAGAGAAAGAAAATAATACGCGCCGTTTTTAGATGCTGAGTTTTAAAAGACAAAATACATAAACGTCTCCTTTAAGTTGTCCTCAATGACCAGTTGGACACCTCAACTGAGCTCATTTTAAGCTAGACACTTTGTTCATTCAGATATAATAACGTTTACTCCCCAACTCTAGAAATAAAGGAAGTCTTTTGTCATGTAATATAAATCAAATATACGCAAAGTAGCAAAATTAATTATCCTTTTAAATGGGTGGAAGCAAGAAAATGAAAATTAAATAGTTCGAAAAAGGGTTTGAATTATATACAGTGCGATTGTAAAGGCTCGATCCTATCCGAAATTTCAAATATTCCAAATTCATCTGGGAGTAATCTACGTTCAACTAGCCTTAAATCTGACTTCTGCACTTAATGTATTCTTGCGTCGATGACACTTGATATGGTTGATAGATTCTTTAAAAAAAATATTTAACAAATCAACCACACAACAGTAGCATGATAAATTATTAAAGCTCTTCGTTGTCTTTTCCTTTTTGTTTTTTAATTACATTTTATTTTCTGGCGAGTCCATTTTGCATATATTAGCAACAATAATGACATTAAAAATTGCTTAGTTTAGAAGGTGCTAACTGCTAGTAAATATTAAAATAAACTTTCCAATACCAGCTCTACCATTTATACAAATCAAAGGATTGATATGATCACCATTTGCATCCTATTTAAAGGGCATGCATTTGTGTGTCCCAATCATCCCTTCAAGCAAGAAAGTACATTGAGATTTTCATCATCCTTTGTCCAAAAAAGATAATGGCAACATTTAAGTTTCTTACATTTCTTATTCTTCAGATTTTTTGCATCTTGAAGGGTGCTAATTCACAAGGAGTGGAAGTAGGGTTCTACAAGAAAACATGTCCAAATGTGGAAGCAATTGTCAAACAGACAACAGCTCACTACATTTCTCGTGCTCCAACCCTAGCTGCTCCTTTGTTGAGAATGCATTTTCATGATTGTTTTGTTAGGGTAATCACCATGTTTTTATGCCTTATTTATCATATTCCTATGTTTTTTTAAACATTTTTCACGTAATGCACTAAAAAAATCATTTAATCATGCAGGGATGTGATGGTTCAGTGCTACTGAATTCAACAAAAGGTAACCAAGCTGAGAAAGATGCAATTCCAAACCAAAGCCTAAGGGGATTCCAAGTAATTGATGCTGCTAAATCTGCTTTAGAGCAAGAGTGTCCTGGCATTGTGTCTTGCTCTGATATTTTAGCCTTAGCAGCCCGTGATGCTGTTGAACTGGTAACTAATTACTATAGTACATTTGGTCCTATTTGTTAGCATTTCAAATATAATTTTTCTTTGAACATTATATATTATGGGTTGTTTCAGATTAATGGACCAACTTGGGCAGTTCCCTTGGGAAGAAGAGATGGGAGAGTTTCAATTCTCTTAGATGCCTTAAAGAATTTGCCAACTCCTTTTGATAACTTCACTACTCTTAAAACAACATTTGGCTCCTTGGGCTTAAATGTAAAAGACCTTGCTGTTTTATCAGGTAAAATTGATATTTTATTGTGAAACAACTCCATGTGGAAGAGTTACATTAATTCAAGAATCTCAAAAATCTATAACATATATNTACACCTTTTTCTTTGACGGTTGCTTCTAAGTATAAATATAGTTTTTGTCTTTGTCTTTCTCATAAAAAGTTTCACATCTTAGAATATTCGCTCTTGTTTTCTTCTTCCTCGTATTGCCATGTCTTCTTCAAACCCTAATCCTCGAAGAGTCCCCATTGTTGATGATCTTCCTCTTGCTCCTATTAGAAGCAGAAGAGGAGGAAGACTACGTAGTTTAGGGTCTTCATCTATACGGGGCACTTCTTTACCTCCAGTGAGTTCTACGCCTCCTTCTAGAACTAGGAGTTCTCTTTCCCATAGACCTTCATCTAGAAGTAAAGATTCTAATGAACCCGTTCATGAGCCTTTAGTAGATGAAATTGTCCCTGATGAACTATCTTTTTACACTGATAGAGAATCGATTTGAAACCAATTTTCTTCTATTTCTTCTTTAGATTGTGCTGATATTTATCTTTCTCAAATCACCGAAGGTCTGATCTATGTTGTTCGTAGGGATTGTGGAGACCTGATTTCCCTATTATAATTCCTAATGCAAACCAAAGAATTACATCTTACTTGACCGGGTTTACTTTTGTGTATACATATCCTTTTACGCTGAATTTTAACCCCCCCATTGATCCTGTTATCATTGAATTCTGTCATTTTTTCGACGTTTGTTTAGGACAGATTTGCCCCATTGTGTGGAGGGTTGTTGCTTGTTTAAGGCATTTAGCAAGGTTGGCTAATTTGCCTTTTACATTTCCATTTGATTCATCTCTACTCCCCTAAGCTTTTCTGTCATGGGATTTTCACTTTAGTGGGGAGAAGTAAGAGAGTGTTAGTTAGCCCAGAGGATGATAAAAACTGTGGCTGGTATTCCAGGTTTGTTATCGCCCCACTGTTGGTTTAGTTGTGACGACCCGGCCGGTCGTCTTAAGAATTTACGCCCCAATCCCCTAATAACTGCTTTCCAAAAAGTTTATTTCTGCTAATTTGATTTGCTGGGATATTCGGTTTTGAGTTTCGGAGAGTTTTAGGACACTTAGTCCCTAAATGAGAGCTTAAGTGTTGGAAAGTTGACTGTAGTTGGAACAGTGTGAAGACGGCCTTGGAATGGAAACCCGATGGTTCCGTTAGCTTCGTTGGGTGATTTTGGGCTTAGAGGCGTGTTCGGATGTGTTTTGGAGGTACGTAGCTAATTTAGGCTTGAAATGCTGAAGGTTGAATTTTTGGAGTTTTCAATCAGATAGTGAGATTTTGGTTTGAGGGTCAGAATGGAATTCCAGAAGTTGTAGTAGCTTCGTAGGGTTGAATGTGGCGTGTGTGCAAAATTTCAGGTCATTTGGACGAGGTTTGATAGACTTTTTGATCGAAAGCGTATTTTGAGAAATTTGGAGTTCTTAGGCTTAAATCTTTGGTTAATTCAAGGTTTCGATATTGTTTTAGGTATTTTAAGGATTGGTACAAGTTTGGATAGTGGTTTGTGACTTGTTGGTATATTTGGTTGAGGTCCCGGGGGCCTCGGGATGATTTCAGATAGTTGACGGAAGGATTTTTGAAGTTAACAAGTTACAGGTTCAGCTGGTATCTATCATAACCGCACCTGTGGTTTAGGTTCTGCAGGTGCGGAGCCACAGAAGCGGCGTTGTCACCGCAGAAGCGAAAATAAGGAGGAGCAGCAGAGGCCGCAAATGCGTAAGTATTTACGCACCTGCGTAACCGCAAATGCGGTGAGAAGGTCGCAGGTGCGGAATTTGGGGCTTTTAATGAGTTGTCGCAGATGCGACTTGTTTTGCGCAAAAGGGGGACCGCAGATTCTGTCCCAAGGCCGCAAATGCGGAAATCGCTAGGCAAAACATATAAATTCTTGCCTTCGCGATTTTAGCCATTTTTCATCTTTTTTAAAACGGGAAGAAGCTTGGGGAGCACTTTTCAGAAGAGATTTTCAGAGCAGTTCATTGGGGTAAGGTCTTTGCTCCCTAAACTCGTTATTATAGTGATTTTTATCATCCTAAGCATGAAAATTAAGGAAAAATCAGTGGCAAGTTGAGGTTTAGGGCTTGACTAATTAGGAACCTGTGAGTAGTGATTTGAGGGACCATTTGGGTCCGATTTTGGTACTTTTGGTATTCATGAGCTTTTGAGAGTATGAGGTTTTTGAAAATATAAATTTTACCTGATTCCGAGATGTGGGCTCGAGGGGCGTTTTGGTAATTTTACATAATTTCGTGTATTAGCTTAGAATATTGTGACGACCCAACCCGTCGTCTCATAGGTTACCGCTCCGTTTTCCCCATTTCTTATTTCTTTATGCTTCATTATCAGTGTTGGGTGTGAACGAGTTGATTTGGATTGGTTTTAGTAGGAAATGAGACACTTAGTCTCTTTAAGGAAGGTTTGTTTTGGAAATATCAACCGGACGTTGACTTATGTGTTAGAGGGCTCGAATTTGAATCCCGATGATTCGGTTAGCTTCGGGGGATGATTTTTGACTTAAGAGTGTGATCCGAAGTAATTTTGGAGGTCCGATGTAGAATTAGGCTTGAATTGGCGAAGTTAGTATTTTGGCGAATTCCGGTTGATAGGTGAGATTTTGATCCGAGAGTCGGAATGGAATTACGAGAGTTGTTGTAGCTTCGCTATGTCATTTCTGATGTGTGTGCAAAATTTCAGGTTATTCGGACATCATTTGGTTGGGTTTTTGATCGAAAGTGTATTTCAGAAGTTTTTAGAAAATTAGGCTTGAATTCGATGAGCTTTGGGTAATTTGATGTTGATTGAGGTGTTTTGATGATTGGAAGAGGTTTGAATAATGTTATGAATTATGTTGGCATGTTTGGTCGGGGTCCCATGAGGCTCGGATAAGTTTTGGAAGAGTTTTTGGAAGATTTTTGTCGTTTGAGCATAAGCATGTAATGATCCAAAGGTTCATTTTTAGTTCTAGAGATCGAAATTTTATTTCGAGATTTCCAGAATTTAAATAATGAATTATAGGAGTGATCTGGAAAGTTTGGTCTAATTTCATCAAGTCGCGATTGGGTTTTTGACACGAAACATGAGTTAATTGTTTAACGAGCGAAATGGGTATTGAACTAGAGCTCCGAATTGAGTTTCGATTGAAGGTCTATGCTTTTTATTATTATTTGTGACTCATAGGAACAAGAATCATCGAATTCCGAGTTCGTATGATGGAGTTAGAGCCTTTTTAGTGAAACGAAAAGCTGCTGCAATTTTCTGGGCAGTTTCTGCATTTTTCTCACGTGTGAACAGTAACCGCACCGACGTGAACAATATCCGTGTACAATACCGTGTACAGTACCGTGTACAGAAAACATGAACAGTATCCGTGTACAGTCCTGTGTACAGTACATATGAACAATACCTCGTATATCGTACCCCATGACAGTACCGTGAACAGTACCCATGAACAGTAAAATGCGTGAACAGTAACTGCAAAAATTTCTGGACAGTGTATGATTCGGGCAGTCCGAGAGTTTTCTCATTTTTGGAGCTAT